GGTCCCGGTGCCCGGGGGGTGCACGTGCCGCCCGGTGCTGCCCAGGGTGGGGGGCGCGGTCCCAACTTCGGGGTGCGGGACCAGGCCCGGCCGGGCCCGCGGGGTCCGGCACTCCCGGAGGCGCTGCCGGGAGGGGCTGCGGAGCCGGCCGGGGGGGGCGCGGCCGGGGATCCCGCCGGGATCGGGGGTCCCGCCGGAGCCGGGGGCGCCCCCCCGCACCCCCCGCCCCATGCAGGTTCCGGGGTGCCGGGGGGCGGGGCCACCCCGGCAGCCGCCCCACGTGGCCTGGGCCGCGCCAGCCAATGAGAGCGCCTGTTTCTGAAAGATCTCCATATATGGCGATGTTCTCGGCCGAGGAGGCGGGGCTCCCGTCCCCCGGGTATAAAAGCGCGGGGCTGGCAGCCGTGCGGTCTCACTCAGCCGGCGGCAGCGGACCAGGCGGCACCGTCACCGCAGCGCCCTCAGAAGCGACCCCCGCGCAGCAGGTACTGCAAGGCCGCGCACCGCGCCCCCGCCGCCCCTTTCTCCGCGTCCCCCGCGGGCCGGGGTGGGCGGTTTTTACCACGATCGGTTCCACTCGGCCCCGCCGCGGGCTGCGGCCGAGTAGCGCGTGTGGTCTCCCCTTGCCCCCCCCCCCCAACCCCCCCCCGACGCGTTGGGATGGTGCCGGCCGTGGGTACAGGCCGGTGGGGGTGTGAGGGGGGCTGCGTCGCGATTGGTGGAGGCGGCGGATGACGTCAGCGCGCGGGAGATTCAAACGGGCTATTCAAAGGGAAGAAACCATTGGGGTGCCGTAGCGGGGGGGCCGGGCATGGCCCGGAGCCAGCGGCTCCTCCCGGGGCCGCGGCGGGCGCTGAGCCGGCCCTTCCCTTCCTCCCGCCGCAGCCTCCGCCATGGAAGAGGAAATCGCCGCCCTCGTCATCGACAATGGCTCCGGCATGTGCAAGGCCGGGTTCGCCGGGGACGATGCTCCCCGCGCCGTGTTCCCCTCGATCGTCGGCCGCCCCCGGCACCAGGTGAGGCGGGCGGGGGCCGCGGGCTGGGCCGGGCCGGGGCGCGGCGGGGGCGGCGCTGACTCACCCGTTGGGTTCCGCAGGGTGTCATGGTGGGCATGGGGCAGAAGGACAGCTACGTGGGGGACGAGGCGCAGAGCAAGAGGGGCATCCTGACCCTCAAGTACCCGATCGAGCACGGCATCGTCACCAACTGGGATGACATGGAGAAGATCTGGCACCACACCTTCTACAACGAGCTGCGTGTGGCGCCCGAGGAGCACCCGGTGCTGCTCACAGAGGCTCCCCTGAACCCCAAGGCCAACAGAGAGAAGATGACGCAGGTACCGTGTTCTCTCCACCCACTGGCCCCCCTCACTCATTTCCTTCACAAATCTTCCTTGTTACATCTGAAACCTGAATTTTTTGTTCTTTTTTTTTTTTTTTTTTGTTTCTCCCGACATTTTCAGGGTTCTGTTCTCCTGGCATTTCTCCCCTGACGCCTCAGGTTCTTTCATTTGTGTTTCTGCCTGCATCCTTTGGCTTTTTCCTTCACACACCGGGGTTGCTCTGCATGCAGCATGTGTGTTCTAACACGAGTGCACACACCCAGCCGGGGGGCCTCGCCGCTCACTGACTCTCCTCCTCCTTGCAGATCATGTTTGAGACCTTCAACACCCCGGCCATGTACGTGGCCATCCAGGCCGTACTGTCCCTTTACGCCTCGGGCCGCACCACGGGCATTGTAATGGACTCCGGGGACGGTGTCACCCACACCGTGCCCATCTACGAGGGCTACGCCCTGCCCCACGCCATCCTGCGCCTGGACCTGGCCGGCCGCGACCTCACCGACTACCTCATGAAGATCCTCACCGAGAGGGGCTACAGCTTCACCACCACGGCCGAGCGCGAGATCGTGCGCGACATCAAGGAGAAGCTGTGCTACGTGGCGCTGGACTTCGAGCAGGAGATGGCCACGGCCGCCTCCTCCTCCTCGCTGGAGAAGAGCTACGAGCTGCCCGACGGGCAGGTCATCACCATCGGCAATGAGAGGTTCCGGTGTCCCGAGGCGCTTTTCCAGCCTTCCTTCCTGGGTAGGTGTGGGGCGGGGCTGCACAGGGAGGGAGGGAGGGGCCTTAAGTGGCATTAATCAGGTTAATGTGGCGTTAATAAACTCTGCCTTCTTCCTTTAGGCATGGAGTCCTGCGGCATCCACGAGACCACCTTCAACTCCATCATGAAGTGCGACGTGGACATCAGGAAGGACCTGTATGCCAACACGGTGCTGTCGGGTGGCACCACCATGTACCCGGGCATCGCCGACCGCATGCAGAAGGAGATCACGGCCCTGGCGCCCAGCACCATGAAGATCAAGGTGGGCAGAGCTCCGTGGGGAGGGCGGGGTGGGCACGGGGGGCTGGAGCAGCTCTGACCCTGCTTTCTCTCCTCTCTCTGAGCAGATCATCGCCCCGCCCGAGCGCAAGTACTCCGTGTGGATCGGCGGCTCCATCCTGGCCTCGCTCTCCACCTTCCAGCAGATGTGGATCAGCAAGCAGGAGTACGACGAGTCCGGCCCCTCCATCGTGCACCGTAAATGCTTCTGAACGGACTGCGGGCCCCGCAGCCGCCCCGCGCCCGGCAGCTGTGCCCAGGCATCCACACACCTCATGCCAGCCTCCTGCAACTGGAATACGCCTTCTTCCAAAAGAACCCTGCCCTTGGGAAGTCTGTACCTGATGTTAGACACGCGGATGGGCACGCTGCCACTTGGTTTGACCCTGTTGTAGCCGAGCTAGGCGGGCCCTGAGCTCGTACCCTGTACGGATCGGCTCCCGGGGCTGCCCCCTCCCGGGGCTCCCCCGCAGGCCCCGCACTGACACGGCCCCGGGCCCGCTCTGTACAGGGTATTTGGAGCCAGGCGTTGCCGTACATCCCGTGTGGAATATTCCAGGTTTCCTGTAGAGGCTGGTAGGAGTCCATCGAGAATTTTTTTTTCACCGTTTCTAGCAAGGTTGGGAAAAAAAAAATACAAAACATATCGCATCCGAGCCTTACACCCCTCCTCATCCTCCTCCTCCTCCCCTGATCCACCACGGGGCTCGAGTTCCTCAACCCCGAGTTGCTGAAACTCTGCATTTACACCTGTAAATTTCTGCATTGTTTTAATTTATGTCAGATAATTTTTTTCTTTAGTTTTTCTTTTTTTTTTTTTTGTACATTGCCTTAATGTTCTCACGTGACAGTAGGAAAAACAAAAGAACCAAAATTTGTTTAAAAATCATCCGAAAAGTTGAGAAATTGTAACGCCCAACAACACTTCATTGTGTAAGGAAAATAAAATGGTAAAAAGCTGCAGTAACTCTGCTGGGTTTGTGTGGTGAGGGGGGGGGAGTGGGTGGGAGCTTCCCCAGGAAGCTGGGTGGGGTTTTGGGGCTAAAAATGGGGGTTTTGGGGTGGGGTGTTCTGGGGTGCTGCCAGCGCTGCCCTCCCCACCCTTCCATGGCTGGGGTACCCGAGTGCCCCTGGGTGTGGGGATGGGGGATTCCCCTCAGGGACCCCCCAAAGCCCTGGGGCTGTCCCCGGCCCCGGGTGACACAGGAGGGTGACAGGGGCACGGGGGCCGTGGTGGCCCTGGGTGGCACTGTCCCCTCTGTGCCAGGGCCGTGCCCCCTGTGCCTCTGGGCTGTCCTGGCCCCCACACCCAACTGCAGCTGTCTGTCTGTCCAGCCGTCCCTCTGTGCCCCTGTCTGTCCCCTGCCACCCCTCTGTCTGTCTGTCCGGCCTCCTTACATCCATCTGTCCCCCCAGCTGTCCATCCCTCCCTGCAGCCATCTGTCCATCTGTCTGTCCGCCCAGCCAGCACTTGCCTGGCTCATCATCCCTCCCTGCATCAGTCTGTCTGTCCAGCTGTCCATCCCTCCCTCACCCATCTGTCCACTGCTCCCTGTGCCCGTCTGCCTGTCCGTCTGTCCCTTTCCCTGTCTGTCCATCTGTCCCGTTGCCAGCCTGTCCGGCCTCCCTCCACCGTGTCCCCGTCCGTCCGTCCGTCCCAGCACGCAGCTCTCTGTCCCTTCTGTACTGCTGAGCTTGTGTCTGTCTGTCCCCCACATACTCCACCCTGGTGTCCCTCTGTCCCCTCCCCCGTGTCCCTCTGTCCCTCTGGTGTCCCTCTGTCCCTCTGGTGTCATTCTGTCCCCTCAATGTCCCCCCAATGTCCCTCTGTCCCGTGTCCCTCTGTCCCTCTGTCCCCGCTGCTCTGGCGCGGCTCGGCCGCCAGGGGGCAGCACGGTCCCGCGCGCGGGCTCGGCCCCGCCCACAGCGCCCCCTGGCGGCCGGGGGTGGGGCTGGCGGCGCGCGCCGCAGCCGAGAACAAAAGCGCGCCCCGCCAGCCAATGGGAGCCCGGCTGCCGGCTCGGCCGCCGCTGATTGGCGGAGGCTCGACCAATGGTGAGGGAGCGCTGCCCGTCCGTCTGCGCACACGTGGGGACGGGAACGGGCCCGGGAGATCAATGAATGATCAATCACCGATCAATCACTGATCAATGCCTTATCAATCCCTGATCCATCCCCAATCTGTCCCCAGTCCATCCCCATCCATCAGCGATCCATCCCTGTATTCCTGCTCCATCCCGGCTCCATCCCGGCTCCATCCCAGCTCCATCCCCTCTCCATCCCTGCTCCATCCCAGCTCCATCCCAGCTCCATCCCTGCTCCATCCCTGCTCCATCCCCTCTCCATCCCTGCTCCATCCCTGCTCCATCCCTGCTCCATCCCTGTATCCCTGATCCATCCCCAATCCATTCCTGTATCACTGATCCACCCCCGCTCTGTCCCTGCTCCATCCCTGTATCCTTGATCAATCCCTGATCCATCCCCAATCAGTCCCCATCCCCATGCATCAGCGATCCATCCCCTCTCCATCCCAGCTCCATCCCCTCTCCATCCCCTCTCCATACCTGGGCTTTCCAGGGCCAGTGGCAGCACGAGGGAACGGAGGCAGAGCCCAGAGCGGAGCCGGCGCCAGCAACGGTTCATATATTTATTCATAAGCCAAGTTATCCATAAAAAAGTTCCATAGTAAAAGGCCTTTACAGGAATGGCGGCTCATAAAACCTTTGTTTAACCCTTTGCTCCTTTTTTTTTTTTTTTTTTCCTTTTGGGTTTTTTTTTTTTTTTTAATCCTGTTTTGTGGGATTTTTTTGTTTTTTAGTGTTTACACTGGAAAAGCCCCTGTACATATTTTGCAGGCAGCGGCGGCGGGACGGGCCAGCGTCCGCCGGCCCCGCGGGGTCCCCGTGGTCCCCCCAGGGTGTCCCCCCCGCGGTCACCCCACTATTGCACTGGGGACGGCGGCGCTGGGCCCCCCGCCCGGGGCCGAGCCCCCGCCCTGGCCCCCTCTGTACAGCGCTCCCCGCTGTCCCCGTCCCCCCAGGCCGGGGGACACAGTGCACTGAAACGACCCCCCCACCCCCTTCCCCGAGGATTATTATTATTTTTTTGTGATTTTTTTTCATCATTTTTTGTCTTTTTTTTTTTTTTTTCTGCTGTTGTTGGGTTTGTTGTTGTTTTGTTTTTTTTTTTCCTTTCTCGCTTTTCCATAAAACTTCCCGGAAGAAATACAATATTTACAGGCAAAATAAATAGAACAACACACCTGATTTCTGCTTCACCTGCTGGCAAACAGTCAGAGGTACTAGGGAAAGTTATGGCTTGTAGGGGAGCCCCCCCCCCACGTCCCCTGATGTGCCCCCAATGTCCCCACGTCACCCTTTGCATAAGAGCCGGGCGGGGTCAGCACAGGGTGGGCACCCCGGGGGCAGCACAGGGTGGGCACCCCGGGGTCAGCACAGGATGGGCACCCCGTCGGCGGTCACCAGGCGCCCCGTGGTGGGGTCGTAGGTGCCCGCCAGGTAATAGAGGTCCTGGCGGTCCTGGCAGCGGCGGCCGCGCGTCAGCTGCTCGTAGTGCTCCCGCCCCACCACCTGACACTTGTGCGAGATGGTCTGCACGTCGTTCTCGTCCTCGTGGCACGACTGGTACAGCGCGTTCTGCGGGGACAAGGCGCCGTCACTGCCGCTGCCCGGGCTGGCGTGAGGCTGCCTGATGGGGGATGTGGCTGCCTGGTGTGGGACATGGCTACCTGGTGTGGGACATGGCTGCCTGGTGTGGGACATGGCTGTCTAGCTGGGGATATGGCTGCCTGGCTACTTGGCTGGTGACACAGCTACCTGCTGTGCGACAGGGCCACCTGCTCTGGGGCATGGCAGCCTGGCCGGTGACATGGCCACCTGGCATGGTGCATGGCTACCTGATGTAGATGTGTGGCTACTCGACACCACAGATGGCTACCTGATGTGCTGCATGGCCATGCGTGGCTACATGACATGGGATACCTGAAATGGCACGTGGCTACCTGACACCACACACGTGTACCAGACAGGGTACATGGCTACTTGCCCTGCTGTGTGGCTACCTCATGTGGTACACGGCACGATACATGTGTTGACATGATGTGTGGCCACCTGACGGGTTATGTGGCTACTTGACATGATGCATGACCACACGGCACGGCACATGGCTACCTGACTTGGCACGTGGCTACCTGAGCTGGCGCGTGGCTCCCTGCCCCCGGAGCCAGCCCTGCCCTCACCTTGCCGTCGCTCTGGCGCTTGCCCAGCTTGGTCTCCTCGGGGTGGTAGAACCACTTGACCTTGACCACCATGTTGCTGGCCCAGGACTCCCACATGCTCTCGATGCGGCCGATGTAGGGCAGGTTGGGCCGCCCGGCCGACAGGAACACGGCGCAGTCGCCCACGCGCAGCGTCTCCTTGCCCCGCACGATGGCCTTGTAGAACAGCTTCCGCGCCTTGCCCTTCATGCCGCGCCGCTGCCGGGGGGACACGCGCTCAGCGTGGCACAGGGACCCCCAAACCCGCCCTGCCGCCCTGGGGACACCGCGGGGGGACGTGGAGAGCAGCACCAGGGTGAGGGGCTCACAGAACGGGGGACACAGCTGGTGTCACCAGCACTGGCAGCTCAAAGGACACAGCTGGTGTCACCAGCACTGCCAGCTCAAAGGACACAGCTGGTGTCACCAGCACTGCCAGCTCCAGGGACACAGCTGGTGTCACCAGCACTGCCAGCTCCAGGGACACAGCTGGTGTCACCAGCACTGGCAGCTCCAGGGACACAGCTGGTGTCACCAGCACTGCCAGCTCCAGGGACACAGCTGGTGTCACCAGCACTGCCAGCTCAAGGGACACAGCTGGTGTCACCAGCACTGGCAGCTCCAGGGACACAGCTGGTGTCACCAGCTCCCTGTGCTGGCATTCACAGTGATGTCACCAACTCCCTACACTGGCTGCCCATGTGCCACCAGCACCCTCCCCCATCCTGCAGCCAACGCCACCAGCACCATGCAGTGGGCACCCATGTCACACACGCCACATGTCACAGCCGGTGTCCCCAGCCCCCTGAGCAGCCAGGGCTCTGCCTGCAGCACATGGCACCTGACATGTCCCCACTGTGCACAGTGTCCCTTGCACACAGACACCCACCTATGCCCCCTGCCCCGAGCTGTGCCTGCTCCTTCCCTCCCAAGCCATACCAGTTGGGTGCCCATGGCGGGCACCGTCTGTGCCACAGCAGTGCCCGTGGGGCTCCTCACCTGCGTGGGGTTCCCTGACCACCTCCAGAGCTGGCGCGCGGGCAGGAAGGCGGAGATCTTTGGCCGGTTTTCCACCGAGGGCAGGCGCTGCCGCCGGGAGAACTCTTTGGCTTTGGCGAAGCTGAGGGGATCCTTGCGCTTGAGCTTGGCCTTGGGGCCGGCGGCGGCCGCCTTGGACAGGAAGCAGCGCTGGGGCGCGGCGCCCTTGGGCCGCAGCGCGTCCGGCTGCGCCAGCAGCGCCGGCACCGGGTGCGACAGGCAGGTCTGCAGCAGCAGCGCCGAGTCCTCGTCCTCCGAGCTGTACGAGGAGTCCTCATTGTCCGAGGAGCACAGGCTGGACGTGGAGATGGAGCCGGAGCTGGACGAGGTGGAGGAGCCCGAGGAAGAGGAGGACACGGAAAGGCGCGTCATGAAGCGCGAGGGGACGTCGGCGCCGAGCCCGCCCGCGTCCTCGTCCTCGTCCATGTCCGAGTAGGAGCTGTGGCAGTCGCTGTCGCAGTTCAGGGCGAAGTCCCCGTGCCCCGAGTACTTGCGCAGCGCCAGCCCCACGGGCAGCGGGTGTGTGGCCGCGCGGCCCCGGCGCTCCCGGCCGCCCAGCCCGGCGTGTCCGTAGCCGTGGCTGCCCAGCGGCCGCTCCAGCCGGGCCCCGAAGTCCTTCTCGGCCAACAGCAGCGCCTTGCACGTCTTGTTCTTGGGGGATGTCACCCCTTCGTGGTCCAGCTTGACCAGGAACTCGCTGCCCGCTGCCTTCCTGCGCCCGCTCCTGCCCACCTCGGCCTCCAGCCGCTCGGCTTTCTTGGAGCGCAGCAGCTTCTGGGCGGCCGGCAGCACCAGCCCGGCGCCGGCGCCGAAGGAGCCGTAGGAGCTGGCGATGCGGCCGAAGGAGTCGGCGCCGAAGGCGTTGCCGAAGACGGGGGCGGCGAGGTGGTGGTGGTGGTGGTGCAGAGGGAAGAGGGTCTCCTTGGCCCGCAGCTTCTTGGCGCTGCCGTTGACCTGGAAGAGGTTCTGGAGCACGGCCGAGCCCTTGTTCGCCGCCTTGCGCTTGGTCTGTGCCACGGCGGCCCAGCTGAGCAGGGACCCTCCGCGCCGCCCGGCCGCCGAGTCCCCCAGCGCCGGGCCCCGGCCCCCCGACAGCCCCTCCATGGCTTTGCCTGCAGAACACAGGGGTCAGGAGGCCACAGGAGCAGGGAGGGAGGGATGCTCCGGGACTGAGCTCCACCCACATCGTGCCACCCCTTCCTCCAAGCCCAGCTCCTCACCTTCCTCTGCACCCCAATATTCCCGGCCCCCTTAATCCCATCTTTGCATCCCAGCACCCTTCCACACATCCCTGCATCCTCCCATGAATCTGTTCCCCTGCCTACACCCTAGCACCTTTCCCTGCATCCCAACAGCCTTCCCCACACCCCAGCACACTTCCCCACATCCCAGTATCCTTCCCCCATTCGAAAAACTTTTCTCACATCCCAATGCTTTTCCCCCATGCCAACACCATTCCCCTCATCCCAGCCCGGCAGGGGATCCTGCTCCATCCCCTCCATACCACTCTTCTCCTTGCCAGCCGCCTTCCTGCCGGAATTCCGGGCGGGCTGGGGGCCGTGGTCGGGGCAGAGCGTGGGGGGCAGCGCCCCAGGGGTGCCCACGTCGCCACACGCCCGCTTCGCCCGCCGGCAGGAGCTGGACACCAGCAGTGCCGGGGAGGGCTCGGTGCCTGCGGGGAGCGGGGGGTCAGGGCGGCTCCGTGCCCCCCTCCAGAGCCCCCCACAGCCCCTGATCCCACCCCGCCCCTCACATTGGATCTTGAAGTCAGGGGGCAGCAGGCGGATGTTGGACACAGCAATGTGTCCCGTGTCCCCGTCATCGAACTCCACCAGCACAGCCTCAGCGTCCTCCTCCTCCTCGTCGCTGGAGGAGCCTGCAGCACAGGGGGGCTGTTGGGGTGGGCAAGGGACCCCCAGCACTGCCCACCTCACCGGCTGACCCCAGGGGATGGCAGGAGACCCCTGGCACTGCCCACCCCAGCGGGTGACCCCAGGGGATGGCAGGAGACCCCCGGCACTGCCCACCCCAGCGGGTGACCCCAGGGGATGGCAGGAGACCCCCAGCACTGCCCACCCCAGCGGGTGACCCCAGGCAGCCTCACCTCGCACCACGTTCCCGGGATAGAGGCACCGGGATTTCTGGCTCCAGTAGGCACAGACGCGGGTGCCGGGTGGAAGGCTCCGCCGTGACTGCGGCCGGATGTCCAGGACCTGAGGGAGGCAGCGTGTCAGGGTTTGTGGGGTCCGGGACCCCCTCCCTGACCCCCACCCCACTGCCCCCACTCACCGCCTCCTGCAGCAGCTGCTCCTGTGAGTAGATGTGCTGCCGGTTCCCCCGCTCACCCTCGATGATGATGCTGTAGCTGGGGAGGGGGCACAGAAGGGGTTCAGCACACACCCTGGTGCTCCCCTCAAATAGCTGGGATGCCCCCCCAGATGTCTGGGACCCCGGGAGCCTCCACTCACATGTCGGGGGGCTGGATGGTGCGCACGCTGCCGGCGTAGAGCAGGCTGTCCTCCTTGGGGATCAGGATGTGCAGCCCGTCCCGCAGATCCTCCTTCTGGATGGCGCAGGCGTGGGGCACCCCCCCGCGGGCCCCCCCTGCCAGGCAGCCTCCCAGCTCCTCCTCCTCCTCCGAGAAGCTGCTGTTGTCGTCGAAGTCGAAGTCGTCCTCCACGGTGAAGCTCTCCAGGAGTTTGCTGACAGCCCGGCCCTTGCACTGCAAGAGGAGGCTTGGGGTGGGTGGGGGGCACAGGGGGCTGTGCCAGGGTGGGGGGCACACCCCACGGGTCTCACCTGTTTGGTGGCCACTTTGCTCTTGACCTTGGCCAGTTTCTTGCCCTTGCTCAGGATGGTCTTGGCGCTCCGGGGGGAGAGGGCCAGCGAGAGTGCCCCGTTCTTGCGCTGCACGGGGAGGTCAGGGCTGCCAGTGACCCCTCTGTGTGACCCCAGCCCCCCCAGGGCTCACCAGGGCCTCCCACCACCCTGAAGAATGCCTCCTCAGCTCCACCAGCACCCACAGCCTGTGCAAAACCTGCCCCCATCCCTCTGCACCCCGTGATTCCATCAGTGTCCCACAACTACTTCCAAAAACCTGCACCACATCTCACTGGCAGCCCTCAGTAACCCCAGCCCTGCATGCCCTGGTCCCATTGGTGGCTCCAGCCCATTCACACACCACATCCCCCTGTCCCCGAGCCCAGGGGTGCCCCCAGCCCAGCCCCCACTCACCCTGAGGGCTGCCTGCAGCCCTTTGCTCTTGCGGGTGCCCTTCTTGCCCCTCTCTCCCAGCCGAGCCCCCTCATCCCGCGGCCCCAGCAGCCGGGGGTCCGTGCCCCCAAAGAGGCTGCTGGGGGCTCCCGGGGGGCTGGGGCCGCCGGGGGCTGGGGGCCTCAGGCTCTCCTTGGCCTTGGCTTTCAGCTTCTTCTTGCTGCCCTCGGGGCAGCCCCCCGCCTTCCGCCGGCCCGGCACCTTCTCCAGCTTCCCGGCTCCCCCCGGCTTCACCGGCCGCCGCTTGATCTTCACCTCCCCCTCGGGGCTGCCCAGGCGGCACGGACCTGGGGGGACAGGGGTCAGGGCACCCCACGGGGTGACAGGGCTCGGGGGACCCCGTGGAGGTCCAGGCTTGCAGCACATCACAGTTGCCCACCCAGTCCCAGCATGTGTCCCCCAGGGTCCCTGCCAGCATTCCAGAGTGAATCCATTACCTAGCAGCCCCTGCCTTTCCTTTTTCTTCTTGGCCTTCTCGTTGGCCTCCATCTTCACCACGGAGGATGGGGAGGGCCCCAGCACAGCCACCGGCCCAGCTGGCAGTGACAGCCCTGGCTCCTCATCCCCCTCCTCGCTGTCCGTGTCACCCTCAGGCTCATCTGCAAGGGGAGAGGACAGGGTGAGGGATTCCTGCACACAGGGGTGGCCCCTGCACCCCCAGTGAACAATGGGGTGAGTTGAGGCCATGTGTAACCCCCTGGCATGAGCCACCCCCACATCTGTCCTGCCTCCCTGACCCATGGCTGGACCCTGCACCCCCAGCTTCCATCCTGAACCCCAGTCCTGTGGCAGATCCCCAAACCCCACAATCCTATCCCCATCCCCCATCCCACATCCCCTCCTCCATCCCACACCACCTCACAAGCAGATCCCCATCCTGCCCCTGTACCCCATTCTGGACCTCACCCCACCCCCCCATCCCGAAGCCCTCAGCCCCCCCCAACCCCACACCCCATCCCTGTGCCCTCCTTGCCTCTGAAGTGGGGGGGCTGCCGGGGACCAGGGTCCTGCCCCTGGTACTTGGAGCTCTTGGAGCCCTTGGGCCGGTTCAGCTTCTTCTGGATGCGGGCACCGGGGTTGGGGTCCCTCCGGCGGAAGGGGCTGAGCCCGGGGGGCAGCCCCTTGCCCTTCACCTTCTGCTTCAGCTGTGACAGCCCACAAGTCACCACACAGGGCAGAGGACCCCACAGTGGGGGGACTCAGGGGGGGTTGGGGGTAGAACACACCCCTCAGACCCCGCGGGACTCACCGGGGAGCCCTGGAGGCTGCTGAACGTCCCCCCGGCCAGTTTGCTCCTCTTCTTCTGGGGCTCGGGGTCCCCCCTCAGCTCAGCACACAGCAGGGACAGGCTGGTCTTCACCGCCCTGGGGGGGCACAGTGTGGGCACGGTGCCCGCAGGACCCCCAGGGGACCCTGCACCCCTTGGGGGGATCCTGCACCCCTGGATGCAACCTGCACCCTGGATGGAATCTGCACCCCTCAGCTTCACCCTGCATCCCCCAGAAGGATCCAGACCCGACCCTGGTTGGCTCCTGCACACCCCAGCTGCCGTCTCCCTCTCTCCCTCCCCTCTCTCACTACATTTTGTGACATAAAACCTGCCGATGAAGGCTGTCCCCTGGGCCAAGGGGGGCCACGCGGCACCAGTCACTCACTTGACCTTGCGGCTCTCGGCCCTGCCCAGGGCACTGGAGTGTTTCCTCTTCCGCGGCCGCCCCGGCCCGCGCCGCGCCGGGCTGCGGGAGCTCTCGTCGCGCCTGGAAACCCGGGGACACCGTCAGCAGAGCCCCCACGGCCAGGACAGGCCCAGAGCCACTGCACACATCAGAGCTGCCCCAGGCCCAGGATGAGGATGGGGACGGGGACAGGACGTACTCGTGGTCGTGGCGCCGCTGCAGCCTCACCAGCTCCCGCTGCTTCTCCTTGTAGCGGCGCTGGAGCTCGGCCAGGCGCATCCGCACCTCCACCTCCTGCGTGTTCAGCTGCTCCATGGCCGCCTTCAGCGGGCACACCTGGGGGGCCAGGGGGGTTTGGGCACAGCTGGCAGTGCCAGCGGCCTCAAAGCCAGGGCTGAGGCTGGCACAGCTCAGCCCCCTTGCTGCCCCCTCCAGGAAACACTCACGGCCTTGGTTTTGGGGGTCCAGGTGTACTTGCGCCGGGGGACGCGGGCACGGGGCGGGGGGGACACGGGCAGGGGGCTGAGTGCTGGGGGGCTGCCCTCCCGTCCTGCCGCCTCCACCAGCGACCAGGCAGCCGCCACCGTGGCCAGGTTCTGCAGGTTGAAAGCCAGCAGCTCCTCATCCTCACCTGTGGGCACGGCAGGGGTCAGCAAGGACCGACACCCCAGAGCCCTGCACTGGCTCCTGGGGGGCTGGGGGGCACAGGAGCAGACCCCTGGCTGGGAGGGCTACGGTGATTTGCCCCATCTGGCCACAGCCAACCCCGTGCCCACCCCACCACCCCATCCATGGGGAGTGGGACCCCACAGCCATCCCCTCACCCACGCTGTCCCCACCTGAACCCAGCACTGCGGCCCCCCCTCGCTCCCGCACTCCCTCCCTCCTGCAGGGCTGGGGATGTGCCAGGCCCTTCCCACTGGGGCCTCTGGGATTCCCTGGGGAAGCCGAGCTGGGAGGGAATCCCGAATCCGGGCGCCTGCCTGGAGCCAGCGCTGGAGCCGAGCCCTGGCTGCGAGTGGGGCACAGCATGGCACGGCATGGCACAGCATGGCACGGCATGCAGCCCCCCTGTCCCACAGGACAAAGGGCACTGGAGGGTTCTGGAAGCACCAGGGCTGCTGGGAGTCACCAGGGCATGCAGGGGACACTGGGGGCCCCGGGCGTCACCCACCTTCCCTGGCCAGGTCACAGCGGCGCCGGCGCAGCTCCAGGTCGGCGAGTTCGCTGAGCAGGGCGATGCCCGGGATCCCTGAGGGGTGGGGGGCAGGCGAAGGGGGGGCCGGGGGCGGCTCCTCGGGCTCCTCCAGCGCCGGCAGCTCCCCCAGGTCGATGCCGGCAGCGATCAGCGCCTCCAGCCCACCCGCGCAGCCCTGGTGCCCACTGGGGACATCATCATCCTCCTCCTCTTCCTCATCGCAGCTGCCCTCTGGCTCTGAGCCATCGCTGTCTCCTTCCCACTGGGGACGTCACCATCCTCCTCCTCCTCCTCCTCCTCATCGCAGCTGCCCTCTGGCTCTGAGCCATCGCTGTCGCCTTCATCCTCCTCCTCTTCCTCTTCCTCCTCCTCCGCAGTGGGGGGCAGCGGGGAGCCCCCCTCCTCGGGCACGGGGTGCTGCTGCTCCGGCTGCTCCGGCGCTCCCTGAGCCAGCTCCCGGTGCCCCCCGAAGGGCTCCTCGGTGCCGCCGGCCGGCGCTGCGCCCCGCTCCCCGCAGAGCGCTCCGGGCGGCAGCAGCAGGTGGTGCCGGTGCAGCAGCGCCCCGGCACCCTCGGCCGGGGGGTCCCGCGGGGGGCCCGGCTCCCGCAGCGCCTCGGCCGCGGGGCTGAAGGTCCGGGACTGCTCGGGCTCGGCGGGCGGCGAGCCG